ATGGCATTAAGAATATGTTTCACACACAATACCTGGGTATAGATCTGAACCAGACATCAGACTATAACGGTTCCACGAATATGTGTCACGGTTCCACGAATATGTGTCACACACGATACCTGGGTATAGATCTGAACCAGACATCAGACTATAACGGTTCCACGAATATGTGTCACACACAATACCTGGGTATAGATCTGAACCAGACATCAGACTATAACGGTTCCACGAATATATACAGATCTGAACACACAATACCTGGGTATAGATCTGAACCAGACATCAGACTATAACGGTTTCACGAATATGTGTCACACACAATACCTGGGTATAGATCTGAACCAGACATCAGACTATAACGGTTCCACGAATATGTGTCACACACGATACCTGGGTATAGATCTGAACCAGACATCAGACTATAACGGTTCCACGAATATATATAGATCTGAACACGCAATACCTGGGTATAGATCTGAACCAGACCTGAAGAGCAAAGATGTAAATCATTACGCTCATTCACAAAAAAATCCACCTCATCTTCGATTAGCCTGGGTATAATATCCGTTCAATTATGAGAAACAGCCTTGACCTTAACACAATGGTGTTATATGCTTATAGGTGTACATAAATTACTCGGGTTCGTGGAGTGCTGTGTAATTTGAATCGAGTTCAAAACAGAATGAAAACATATTCAATAAAACAAGTTAATGACACAGTGTGCGCAGTCTTCATTACAAAATAAACATGACCCCCAACTATTTTCTACCAGTATATAGACACTGTATTGCCGAGGATGTGTCCAGCGAGAAAACACACACAGCTAAACTATTTGTCAAGCAACACAGTTGAGGCATACTGCATACATTCAGACAAAAAACACCAGCCTCAATTTTAAAAACTATCAATCGAAAATGTCAATGAACTTAAGCGAGTTAAATTTGAAATTTTAATTTTGAAACACACATGCGTCCCACCATGTTACCTGAGGCAGTAAATATATTGAAAATCCCCGGAGTTGGCTGCAATATTCTCACATTTGCCTTCCAGGCTTTTTAAATTGAATGTGTAAATCGTTATATCAATACTGCTAGGAGTCAAATTTCACCAGTTTTATCAAGTCCGTAACCATAACGGTGAATCCGTACACTGTAACACCTGCGACAGGCCGAACTGTTTGTGTAGTCCTCTATATATTTAAATAGATATGCATGGGGTGGTTCTCTTATTAAACTGACAGCTGGTATGGTCGGAGGACCTACGTTAAACTTGTAAAGGATAGTCTCTGATGGTAGCCAATAGAAAGGCTTGTCTTTGACTTACAAAGAAATAAAGTCATCGTGTTTGTTAAAAAAGTAAAAAATGAATTTAAAAAAGGAGACCAGACTAGTTATTAATTTGAGCCTAGAGCAAAGGCAATTGAGACGTGCCTAGTCATTCTAGACTTGAGCTGGACTTCTTACAACATATTCTTTAAGCCTCGAAGACAGACCAGGCTATCCTATGCTAGACTATGGCTTAGTCTCTGACAATATATGACTTTGAGAAACAAACGGCTCCAATTAAACTGCGAGGAACAACAGTGAAAAGGGAGATTACAAACCCGAGGAAAGCTAGACTTGCTTCAGAGCGTATAATGTGGAACAGAGACTGTGAGACAGGCTAACCCTATGCCAACGGTGTTTCAAGAGAATAAGCCAAGGTTGTAATAGTCTGTCACGCAGTCCCTGAACCACATTATTTTCCCTACTGTCAACCCTTATATGCAGTGTTAAAGTCCTAAATAAAGCAAGTCTAGATTTCCTCAGGTTCTGAATCTCTGGTCTCCCTAGGGTTCCTTTTCAATTTAAATGAGCTTGTTTGTTACTATCAAAATTATATATATTCAGAGACTAAGCGTTAGTCTAAGGTTGTAGAATCTTGTTTCGTTATTAAACTGTCAGCGTTTTAGTAAAGCCGATAATCGTTGTTGTACTCGCCACTAGGCAGTATTTCATAAAAACCTATTCACCAACAAACTTTAACAAACATGAACAAACAAAGCTAGTATCTAGCCAGTACAATAAGTTCAAGTCACAAACATGTCAACTTGAACATCTTCAACCCCTCTCACTCGGACTCTAAGCCTAACCGAAATTATTTGTTTTTATCACAAATATAGAGACTAAGCTTTGGTCCAGTTTGGGCGTCACGATCACATTAGCGCTGAGATAGCTTTGTAAACTGCATGCGCGGAACCATTATTCTGCTGTCTAAAAGACTTTGACTGGCACCGGCTGTAAGTAGGCATGACAATGTAGTAGATCGAGAGCTATTTAGTATAACAGCTAAGTAGGGGTATTTCATTACATGATATTTGCATATTTTCCCTGGTTTCCAGAAGTATTAACTTGGTCACGTGGAAATCATGGTCATTTGCATACAGACTATATACTACTTCGAAGTATGAAATAAATGTTAATTTGGACGAGAAATTGGCGTACATGTGTATATGCATACGTTTGTATATTTGCGCGTAGGCGTGCACGTATATACGTATGATTGTTTATTTGTCGTGATGGAGATAGATGTATATACATCTGACACGTGCATATAGCCATATGTTGGACTATGGGGGGGGGGGGGGCAGTCTGACAAACTACTTTAGAATAATTGACGCGGTCATATGTCTACGCTTTGTAGGTATGAGTGACACGTTTATGCAAAACATTATTTGCCATAATGGCCCAAACAAACACATGGTATATTTGACAAGTGGCATTGACGCATGTGTTTGGTTGCGTGCACGTGCATATGGGTTGAGTCCGTGACATCTACACATTCATAAATGATCATGTGTAAACATGAAGATTATTACATTAAAAAAGCAAGGCGTATGTCCATGGGATTTACTTATATGTATTTATACCACTCAAAAGAAATGAAAGAACTTTGTTGTAGAACAACTAAAAGCATGTTCCAGAAAATACTCGAGTCGCTTCAACACGCAAGGCGCCGTCTAGTCCGTCTCACAGTCCCTGAACCACATTATTTTCCCTTGCAACCAGCTCTTCCTGCAATGTAGTCTGTCTCACAGTCCCTGAACACCATTAATTTCCCTACTGCCAAGCCCTCTCTGCAGTGCTAAAGCCCTAAATAAAGCAAGTCTAGATTTCCTCAGGTTCTGAATGTCTGGTCTCCCTAGGGCTCCTTTTCAATTTAAATGGGCTTGTTTGTTACTATCAAAATTATATATATTCAAAGACTAAGCCTTAGTCTACCTGCAATGCTAAAGCACGAAATGAAGCAAGGCTAGATTTCCCCACGTCCCTGAATCTCCCAACTCACTGGGGCTCCTTTTCAATTTAAATGGGTTTATTTGTTACTACCAATATTCCATATATTCAGGGACTAAGCGTTAGCCTAGGCTCCATCCCAACATCACCGCCCTGACCCGCCAATGCTCTATAAACACATCGTCAGTAAACAACTTCTGATTGCCCTGGACCCGTGTTTACAGACACACACACACGTGTTTATGATGTATTCTATCCTCTAAACGAAAGACTACTCTTTTCATCAAGTAGCTTATATAGTCTCTCATACAGACCCTGAAACAAACACATCTGGCAGATCCCACGTAAGTCTATAATACTTGGCAAGTCTAGATCAATAGTCCCCTTCTCTCTGCTCCATTTTATATTCTATTATTCAGATGATCTAAAAACTGTTTTTCTCTCCAATATTTTCCTTTCAGATGCCAGATGTTAGCCATACATTCCATATATTGTCACAGTTTTACAAACAGGATAAACAGAGCCCAACTTTGTAGATCTGTGCGATAGCTTATGTCGGTAAATTAATTGTATCGATTGTTAAACATGCCGTTTGTGTAGCGGCCTTGATGAGCACAAGAATGCAAGACACAAAATCAATCGGTTTATCGACTTCTACCATGTTGTTGTTTTCTATTAAGGAATGTCCCAAGCGCATTAACACGCTGCCATAACATATTCGTCAACACAAGAGCTTCTCGTTGCATTATGAGATTACGCGCCATATATAAATGGATGCCGCTCACCACAACGATAAAACAGGCTTGTTTATAATTGCATCCGACGTGTTTCTCGGCAAGCTTTATGAATATGATTAATACTGACGACTTTGATTACAGATAAAAAACGAATTTCTTTAGTTGTGTCAACGCACAGATATGTTGATGTTGGTGTAAGCGACATGGCAGCCATCTTGAAAGGTGGTCGATAGAGATTGGGTAAATATTTCAATCAAGCGTAATAGCGATCGCATCGGACATAATAGAAGATAATTATAAACCTTTCACAAGAAGATGGATGAACCGTTCTGTGACAGGGATTCGATAAGGCTGTCCTTGCTAATATCACTACCAGCTGACCTTTAACCCGAAATTATTAATAACCGCTTCACATACACATATAGTAATAACCGCCAGTATCGACTAAGTTAATTATGTTATGACATCGGTTCTTTGCGCCGCAGTTACACGTGTAAGTTATTGCCTCAGTTCACACACCAAGGATTAATTTGCAGCGTTTCCAATTCGCTAATAATCCACTTGTATGTTGATAGTGTGTTTTTACATGCGTGTGTTGCGAGGGGGCGCACGTGCTTGTGGAACGCGAGCCACGTGGAAGGAAACGCACGAGCACAGAGTTTATCCCGTGGGACGGGGGGGAACCCCATATCCACTTACGTGCAAGCTGTGTGTCATGCGCATGGTATTTAAATGTACATGTCGTTCTTTTCATTCAGGGGGCACACATTCTCCAGCATGTTTCTAGGCGACAGATGCCATGGTAACGATGCCTCCTGGCGCGTGCGGCTATTTAACAGCTAAGCTGCGGAATGTAAACACGGGTCACATGACGCGATGACTTCCTTCAAAATGTGCAAATGTACAAACATACAGTGTGAGATATAATCTACTATTAATAAAATGCAAGCAAAATAGAAGTAAATAAATAATGGCAAAGAGTACTTACCCTTGCGGCCGTAGATGTTGTCGGTTTTTCGAGTAGATCCCAAACCTTTTGTCTCCACTTAGCACACCCCCCTGTCCCAAAGTTCTCCTCATCGCGTTGTCTAATGCTCTCTGCCTCTTTCCGTATCTCCTCAAACACATGCTCCTTTTTTCTGATGATATTTGTGTTGACAGCACGATTCTAGATACAATTCGTCTATTCCCCAGTACTCCAGATCTTCGCTGAATGAAAGCACACACATCTCTTCGACCAAATGTAGTTTCCCCGTGCGGTAAAAATTTAATATTGATGCAAACGATCTCGGGTGACGGTCAAAGAAGAATTCATTTTCCGCTAAATTATAATCATCACATAAATCCAAGATAGCCTCGTGGGTGTTGCAATCCCGTAGCTTGCCTAGTATGAGGCATCCGATCCAGTGTGCGCCACAAAACTTCATGTTTCACACCTCCAACATTTAGTATTACCCGTTTGGAGAGCTGTTTGCTCCTCATGATCGTGTATGGGTCCGGTGGAGCGGATTCCGACGACGCGTAGTACCGCCCGGGACTGAGAGTGTTATCATCATGGAATACCCCCATGTTTACCACAGTCGAGGGAGAGAGACCCTGCTCTGCCTCGGTAGGGACGGAGGAGGTTACGGGATTGGGAGCTATTTTTACCTCTTGTTTGGCGATTTCCCGTTCTCTCCTCCTCGCAGAGGATTCCCTCAGAACAGGTAACGTAGGGTCATCCCTCTTTCTGGCGTGTGAAGAGTGGTGGCGGAGAGATGACCCCCGGGAACCGAGGTTCGACCCAGCCATACCATGATCTCCGTCCCGGCCCTGGCTGCTCCCGGAGCTGGATAAGAACATACTAAATATACTGTTAGTCTGAGGAGGGGTGAGCAAGGAGCAGAGGACGACACGACTGCAGCAGAGTGGATAGACGAGTTGAGGAGTAGGAGGAGGATGAGATGGGCCACATCACGACGAGGAGAGTTAGCACTGAGCACTCGGGTAGACGGACTGACACACAGACGGGTTACAAAGCAGGGTGCTAGAGTCTAAGACCGGGTACACCTTGGGGCAGGGGGTTAGGGAACACTCATCACAGTTTATGAAGCTAGCCGTGAGCTGTACTGTCACTGGTGGTGGTGGTCAACAGGTGAGGGCTAGGCAGGGTCACGGAGGGCAGGCAGCAAGGGGAAGCACATTCTACACAGTGGCCAACCGCTACACCACCGAGAGGGGGACAACGCTGTGTGGAAGACAGGTCAGAGGTCAGTGGTCAGTCATATAGGTCAGTCGGCAAAGGTCATAGTGTAATGTGTACCCTGAGGTGGATCAATTTGTTTGTAAAATATGAATATATCAACCAGTCCGTGCATATGCAAAAGTAAAGTAAAAGCATAGACGACTTATCATGTAATGCTTATCTGAAAACTATAATAAATCCAATTTCGTTCATTATAATTATTAATGTTTATAGAGCATTAATATATGCCAGTTCCACATATACCTGCATACTTACATACATACATTATGCCGGAAACTCCAGCCTGCATTCAAAGAGGAAGCTACTATACGGGTCATGTAGCGTTAAGCTGACCACACAGAAAACATGTGACACCAGCCGCTTCATCAGCCTGCTCATCAGACCTCAAACACCACCTGCGAGGACGATTATGGAAATTCACTCAATTAATGGATCTCACCATCACACACTATCGCCAATTACGGAGGCAGGAGTGGACATTTACAAAAAGCGTAGATACACGACCTTAAGGTCACGGTAATGTAACGTGAGGCTAAGAGTCCAAAATGACCAAGTCCATTGAATACTGCGGCTAGTAAGATTGTCACATACCTAAGGGTACACGATACACGGCTAGTCACTAGTGAGGTACAGCAAGCACACACGTCAAACCAAAGCTATCACTGGTACAACTCTCGGAATATCCTGTACTGAAACACGTACCCCTTAGCATCGATCAACGATTACACCTATGTACAAAACAAGCACACCCGAGCAAGCTGTGAACCTAACGTGGAGGATCTACTTTCAATGTTGACTACAGAGCGAGGAGGGTAGTATGGATGCTTGGCGAGGAAGGGTTGTCAGCAAGGTGACGACGACACCCATCTGCGTTGCCTACCTCTCCATGGCTAGTCACACGACGGCGGCAACTCCATTGCCCAGGATTCACGACATGGAGCACGGTATTCTCTGCTTCGACTCCAGAAGAACAAGGAGTAAGGCTTTGTGTGCAGACATCCCCGATACAACAGATGTGTTGAGTTTCCAGTGCGCCAAGAGCCTCTCCTAAGTCGAGTGAGCTATATAGGAGCGATGGCCAGCTTCATCTAGAAAGCAGCTGGGTTAGCGTCCCCTCGCGATGAGGAAAAGGTGCTACATGGCTACAGGTGTTCTGATGTGCGAGAGATGAAGGACACCAGGATGGCTACAAATAAGTGCCATGATAAATCGTCAAGCTACCGTACCTTGCTTCAATCATGGCGGCCAGTATCTAGATCTGCTTCCGGCGGCAGGGTAGGCGCCCCGCGAGACTAAGGGTTCACACTTACAGTCACAGAGTACCAGCTAGGTCACAGTAGGCTAACAGGTCACAGTAGGCTAACAGAATAGAGAGAGAAGAGCAGACATGTTTAACTCAACCACGGACGGAAGGACTGACGGACACATTGACGACTTACTCATTAGCAACAGCGCACGTGCCTACTTGCAGCATGGGGGGCTGTTTATGACACTCGACAGTTTCCCTCGAGAGGAGTCACACAACCAAAAAGCACATATTATGTTTCCATTCCACACCTGGAAATCGCGACACTTGACAGCGTGGTGGAAATCAGGATGAAGAGTCTTGCGAGTCAGCCTGGCTGCCGCACACCGTCTTGACAACCAGGGAATCACAATCACACAGCAGCAGCAGCAACGATAACTTCAACGGCGGCGACAGCAACGTTTACTACCCTCGTCGAGCTGTGGCATGTCCTCTGATAGCCTTTCCCAATGGAATCACGGGCGATCCGACTATAAGGTGTACGTATTACAAACCCGTTTCACTGAGGGCAAAACTACCGTCAATAATGTACATTTCTCTCGCTTATGCCATGGAAGCTGACATCACTCAACACTGTGCATAATGAATGGAGGGATCACGTGACAGCTAATTATACACGACCGATCTTTGCTGTCCTCCCATTCAAAAGTTTGTGGTGTCGTCTGCGAATGTACCAAACATAATCGAATCTGTAGCATCCATAGGTTGTGCAGATCCGTGCCATGCAAATGAGTGGAGAGGTGTATTGATTGAAGATAGACATATGCTGGCCGCCATCACTGCAGTCCACGGCGAGCTAAGTGGATGCTACGCGGACAACGGCAGACGACACAATCAACGTTCTTAAGTTGTCGCAGGAGACCGATATATGTGCCACCGTTGGGTCTTCGGGCCCGGTCTCTGACCAACGCCATCCTCGACAGTATCTTACATCATTGATTGAAAGCCTGCTGACATTGATCCAACAGAGCGCCTGTGAGGGGGCGGGCGAGCAACAGGCATACGCGGATGGTGGGGCTGAGATGTGCAGCATCTCGCAGCATTTGTAGCAAACTGACATGAACCGTGAACACGTCATCGGTATACCTGGGCACATCTTCACCACAACAAATCTGACAGTCATTTAATCTTACAACCACATACCTTGGCCCATCTATACTACACACAGCTTGACGATCACTTCATTTGCATAAGTACATCGATACATCTCCATATCATACACCTGGGAAGTTTGATTCATCTTAATACTTGATACGTCGATAGACTTGATATGATCCACTTAGACACATCTATACAACTTCATATACACCTTGACACATCAATCCACCTGCAAATCTACCTGGACATATTAATACACCTTCATATATACCCAGACTTATCAGTACACCTGTATATATACCTAGCTGCACCAGTGAACTTTTATATGCTCCTAAGCATATCAATGTACCTACATATGCATCTAGATACATCAATACACTTTCACATGCACCTATGCACTTCAGTGCATATTCATATGCAGTTAGCCACATCCATGCACCTTCATCTACACCAAAACACATTAATGTTCCACGATATAGACCCGAGGATGCCAATATACCTTCATATATGCACGAACACGTCAAAGCACGTTTATATACACCTAGGCAAATCAATACACCTTCATATACACCTAAGCAAATCAATACACCTTCATATACACCTAGGCATATCAATACACCTTCATATACACCTAGGCAAATCAATACACCTTCATATACAGCTAGGCAAATCAATACACCTTCATGTACACCTAGGCAAATCAATACACCTTAATGTACACCTAGGCAAATCAATACACCTTCATGTACGACTAGGCAAATCAATACATACGTTCATATACCATACCCACATCAATACACCTTCATATAGACCTAGTGAGTGAGTTAAATTTTACGCCGCTTTTAGCAATATTCCATCAATATGACGGCGGGGGACACCAGAAATGGGCTTCACACATTGTGCCCATGTGGGGAATAGAACCCGGGTCTTCGGCGTGACGAGCCAACGCTTTAACAACTAGGCTACCCCACTACCCTTCGTATACACCTAGACACATTGATACACCTTCATATACACAAAGACACATCAATACACCTTCATATACACATAGACACATCAATACACATGTATATATACCCTAGTCACATCGATACACCTTCATATACACCCAGATACATCAATACACCTTCATTTATACCCAGACACATCAATACACCTTCATATACACCTGGATACATCAGTACACTTTCATATACACGTGGACACATCAATAAACCTTCATGTACACCTAGACACATCAGTACACATGCATATATGCCCTAGTCACATCGATACACCTTTATATACATCTAGACACACCAATACACCTTCATATACACCTAGACACATCAATACACATGTATATATACCCTAGTCACATCGATACACCTTCATATCAACCTAGACACATCAATACACCTTCATACACATATAGACACATCCATACACTTTCATATACACTTAGACACATCAGTATACCTTCATATACACCTGAACACATCAATACACTTTCATATATACCTGGACACATCAATACACCTTCACATACACCTGGACACATCAATACAACTTCGTATATACCTGGACACACCAATATACCTTCATATACACCTGGACACATCAATACACCTTCATATACACCTGGACACATCAATACACCTTCATATACGCCTGGATACATCAAAATACCTTCATATACACCTGGACACATCGATATACCTTCATATACACCTGGACACATTAATGAACCTTCATATACACCTAGACACACCAGTACACATTCATATACACCTAGACACACCAATACATCTTCATATACACCTAGACACATCAATACACCTTCATATACGCCTGGATACATCAATACACTTTCATATACGCCTGGATACATCAATATACCTTCATATACACCTGGACACATCAATATACCTTCATAAACACCTAGACACACCAATACACCTTCATATACACCTAGAAACACCAATACACCTTCATATACACCTAGACACATCAATACACCTTCCTATACGCCTGGATACATCAATACACCTTCATATACGCCTGGATACATCAATATACCTTCATATACACGTGGACACATCAATATACCTTCATATACACCGGGACACATTAATGAACCTTCATATACACCTAGACACATTAATGAACCTTCATATACACCTAGACACACCAATACATC